TGAGACAGACAGACAGACAGACAGACAGACACAGAGGACAGAGAAACAGAGAGAGACTACTTGAAGTGATACTAATGAAACTTTTTTTTTTTTTTTGTCTGTCTGCCTGTCTCTCAACCACAGACAAGCTGCCATTGCGGAAAAAAGTAAGTAATTGCCTTTCACATTTAGCACAGAGGCAGACTCAAAGTCGAAACTTCATTTTCCCAGTATATCTACAGATGATAATGTTTTTGTTTTTGTTTTTTTCTTGTCGGGCTTGGTGGCATAAGCCTTTAATCGCAGCACTTGGGAGGCAGAGGCAGGGGGGTCTCTGTGAGTTCAAGGCCAGCCTGGTCTACATAGGGAGTTCCAGAACAGCCAGGACTACAGAGTGAGACCCTATCTCAAAACAGAAAATGGATTTTTTTCTCTTCTTTCTTTTATAAATTGTAGGTGCTCTACATATGTTTCCACTTTAGTCTTATGTCTGCAGGAAGGTCTCAGTTATGACACCTGACTCTGGTCCTCTGAAGCCATCCTAAGAAATCTCTTGGTTACAACCATGTGATAGGTATTAGTCACTTGTAGGTACAATGTATCAGAAGATAATTAAACCCAGTGAAGGAAACAAGAGTCTGAAAGACTGTCATTTTAACATTGGGTAAATTCATAGAAACAAGGTTGGAGAGTCACACACAAGTCGAATGAAATGGGCCATAGAATGTGAGGCTGGTAACCACAGTGCCCATGCCAGTCAGGAGTCCCCGGGGTGTGTTACAGAAGGGCTCCTTCATCCCGTGCTCAGACAGACAGACCCAGAGCATGCTCCCTGGCCAACAGCACCAGCCCTAGATTTCAGCACCTCTCACACCTATCACCTTCATCTATATACTCAGCCACAGACAGACCTGCACGGCACGACCAAGAACCAAGACAAGGAAGCGATCTAAGGAAAGCCTCAAAGGAGCCCCCAGAGTACGGCCCTCCAAGGGTACAGCTGGTGCTCCTCACAGAGAAACCATAAAGAGGCCACACCCAACCCCCCCCCCAGCCTCTATATTACCATTTGTTCTGCTCCCTTGACCTTTGACCTGCTGAGCTACAGGAGGGCTGGGGCTGTATAGAGCCATGAGAATTAGACAGCGGGTGTCTAAGAGACACAGTAGTCCCAAGCTGGTGCCTGAGGTACAGGCCCCCGTGCGTGTGCAGTAAGTAAAGAAGAATTAAAGCCAGGGTCACTGAGTCATTTCTTACTCGGCATGTTGAAAGCAGTATTGAAATAACCATCAGGACAGGAAGAACTGACTTGAGAGATTTGTGTCACGAAATGGTTTGGAGGGCATGATCATTGGCCCTCCTCATGGCGGTGTTTAACCAGAAATTCCTGTGCTTGCAGATCGGGCCCGGGTGTTGGGTGGCCTCCCTGACGTTGTCACCATCCAGGAGGGCAAGGTGAGTACAGGGTACCGTTGTCCCCGCCTCCACATGGGGAACAGGTCCCAACAGCTACACTGTGGTCCTTTCCTTTGCATCCTCCTCCCTCTGTCTCTTCCCTGGCATCCGTACTTCACCAGAATAGCCAGATACAGGGTGAGAAGTTCAGTGTTCCAGTCATGATGTCTGGTCAGCCCAGCGTCAGGATGAAAGTTTGTCTTGTGACGCTATATTTAGGCCATTTCTCCAGAGGCACATTTAAAAACCAACAGAAGCCATTAGGTTGTATGAAAATGAACCTGAAAACATTTGCTCATAACCCTGTAACAAAACAAGAAATTATTCCAGCACACACTGGAAGGTGGCCCATGTTATTAAGAGTCTCATGGCTACAGGGAACACTCTGCCTCATAAGTTTCTATTAGCTCCATCTCCGATGAAAACCAACTTCTCTACACTTGGTATTAAACTGGTGTTTCCTGGTTTCACATAATCTGAAATGAAATGAACATTATTTCTAACCTGTAAACCAGGCAGAGTGGTACTTGCCTGTAGTCAAAGAACTCAGCAGGGGAATTTAGAGTTCAAGGTCACCTTTGGCTACATAGCCAGACCCCATATCAATAAAAATAAGGTTAATAAAACTCTTACGGGTCCGGAGAGACCAGCAGTGAAGTAAAACCTTTTCCCACTGAAAGGGCATCACTGTCTGTGACGGTGGGGGCGGGGGAGATGGCCACAGCGAAGCAGGGCTGTGGATTCCGTTCAGTGCACTTCTCTGCAGGTGGAACATATCACAGTCAACTCTAAGCTCCGCCTTTGAGAGCAGCTTCTGTTCTCAAACTGTCTTTTCTGCTTTCCTCACTTAACGAGGTTGAAGTCACTGGGCAGCCGTAAAAATTAGGAGAGAAAGTATGAGAAGCTCTTGAATCCACAGCTCAGATCTGAGGGATGGGTGCTAGTTTTCCACAGTGCTCACAGTGTTTGGGATTTCTGTTTGATTTAGTTACATTTTGCCCCAAGTAATCACTAATTTCCAAAATTATTTACTTTGTCTGTTCAGATACATTTAATGACAATGGTTTGGCTCATTTAAAAGTCATTACATGTATGTATTTATTTATTGGAGGACATGCCATAACATGTATGGAAGTCAGGGTACAACTTGCTAGTATCAGTTTTCTCCTTCCGCAGTGTGGCACTGGGGGACTGAACTCGGGCCACTCGGTTTGGCAGCAAGTGTCTTTACCCACTGAGCCACCTCTCTGGCTTGTACTTTTCTTTCTGAAATGTACCCGTAGAGTAATTCAGTAAAAATGTTAATTAAAACTGGCATGGTGACACCTACTTATAAAGCCCAGCACTCGAGAGGTATAGACAAGAACATCACAGGTCTAGCCTGAGCTACACAGCCTGCCTCAAAAACTTGCTAACTAATGATGAGGTGTAAGCAGGCTTCATGATTTACCCAACTTTGCTCCCGTAGAAGAGGCCATAAATGGCCGGGTGGTGGTGGTGCACGCCTTTAATCCCAGCACTCGGGAGGCAGAGGCAGGTGGATCTTTGTGAGTTCGAGGCTAGCCTGGTCTACCGAGCAAGTTCCAGGAAAGGCGCAAAGCTACACAGAGAAACCCTGTCTTGAAAAACCAAAAAAAAAAAAGAGGCCATAAATGATAACATAAGATCCACACTCCTTTCCTAGCAATGCCAACTCTGTCCCTAGTCAAGATCATGTAATTTAGCATCGCTAGCTATGGAGAAGAGAACAAAAGACACAGTGAAGTGTAACATATCTACCTGGACTGCAGTGCTAAGGGACATGCATCAAAAATGCAAGCAGTGGCAAATGCAGGCAAAGATGTGGGGAAACTGAATTACTTATACATTGTTGGTAGGATGTAAGCCAAAATCATATCAGCTTAAGCAAGAGAGCTTGGTAGTTTCTAGGGAGAAAAGTGAATCATCTATTTATCATACATCCCAGCAACTGCACCTGGGCATTTAGCCCAGAGAAATGGAAGCGTTAACATATAGAGCCTGTACCCTTTCTTCGTAAGAGCCCCAGACTGGAAATGGTACATGTGACCGTTAGGGACATGCACATCACTAGTCAGCCAGGAAGGACAGCAAGGAATCACGCTGACACAAAGCAGCAGCATGGAAAGTTTGCATGCTGTAGATTGTGTCCATGTGACATTTTTGAAATGACGTTTCATAAATGGAAAAAGGAGTAGCAGTTGCTGGAGACTGAGAACAGAGCTGACAATCAAAATGCAAAGATATGGAGCACGGTCTCAGTGGATTCATCTATAGTGCAACTCCCACACCTTAGGCTTGGGAATCACTGCAGAAGGGGTGGGGAGCAGAATGATGGTATGAGCCAAGGGATCAGGGAGTCACTGTGAGTCTCCGACTAGCATCAGAAGCTACACCCACAAAGTCTCACCAACATGACTTCCTAAACATGAGCTGAACAAGGACGACATCAATGGACATGCTAAAGTGGATGGGGAAAAGACCAAGAAACCTCAACCCTACACAAAGATCTACAGGCAGCTAAGGAATGCTGAGGGCCAGAGAAAAAGTCTTCCCTAGGGAAGAGAGAGTCAACTGGTTATTCAATACCAAATGGCCAGCCCTGAAAAACACACATGCAAGTAACACTACACAGACTGAGTAGGTTATATTTAGGAATATATACATACATACATACACACATATACATATATGAATGTAACCACAGTTAATGAAACAAGAGGCCATGAATTTGAAAGAGAGCAAGAAAGGGTATATGGGAGGTTTTGGAAGGAGGAAAGAGAAGGGGGGAAATGATGAAATTATAATCTCAGAAATTGTATTATAATCTCAAAAAATAAAAGGTAATAAAAAAAAAAGAACAGGGTTGAAAAGTTGGGGTGGGCCATGCAGCTTTTGAAGGACAGCACAAAGGGAACGTGTGATGATGGAAACATGTGCATACAAAACGTTACACGTTGACTAGAACAGTCTAACACACGGGCCTCTGTAGTGCTTCTGAGAGTTGCATGGGAATCTTGCCATTCTCCCAGCGAGGCAAAGTAAAGCTGCAGCCTCAATGTCAGCGTTTTAGAAGAGAGTTTCAACACGACCGGGAACGTTTCATTTGGGGTGCATTGAGGCCAAGCAAGCACCTTTGGAACAACGCAGATCAGCGGGGGTCCAGGGAGCTGAAGAAAATGAGCAAGATGGAATGGGAAAATTAGTTAATTATGCAGAGCAGCTGCTGCCGGTCCACCGCTGGGCTCGGTGACGCAAATGAAACGCGGAAGGGAGCGGGTGGTGAGTACAGAGAGAGATTTCTCTACTGATACAGCCCAGAGGCCACACCAGAGCAAAAGGCATCTGGGTGTTTATGAAGGAAAGTGGAGAGGGACAATAAGCACTCTAGACTCCCCAGAGCCCTGCCAGCCCTTCCAGATGCTCCCCACACGGTACCTCGGAGTGTGACCACAGGTGCCAGCACATAACTACTTTAAACCCCGGCCTGGGAGCCGTAATAACTACCCTTTATAGGAAGTTGGGTCAGCTTCCTCACCTGCCTTCCCATAAACCTGTCTTGCAGGCACTCAATCTCACTTGTAACGTGTGGGGCGACCCAACCCCTGAGGTGTCCTGGCTGAAAAACGAGAAGCCACTGGCCTCCGATGACCACTGCAGCCTCAAGTTTGAGGCCGGGAAGACGGCCTTCTTCACCATCTCAGGGGTGAGCACCGCGGATTCTGGCAAGTACGGGCTGGTAGTGAAGAACAAGTACGGCTCCGAGACCAGCGACTTCACGGTCAGCGTGTTCATCCCGGAGGAGGAAGCTCGCAAGGGCGCCCCCGAGCCCCAGAAAGGCAACCACAAGTCCAAGTGAGCGGAGCCTGGCTGGAGCTGAGGAGAGCCAGGGCCCGCTGAGCCACCCACCCACCATGCTGCTGGGGTGAAAACGATCTGGGTGACAGATGGGGAAGGGCTCCCGGTGTCTCCCCGTTTTCTGCTGGCCCGGGAGGAAGTTATCATCAGATCTCTTATTCATACATATGAGGCACCGATTAGTGACACTGTAAGGATTTTTCTCTGCAGTTCATATGGTAAAGCACTTTAGGAAATGGTTTGAAGGAAGAAGGCCAGGAGATGGTGGAGAGATGTTGAGTGAGAGCAGAAGAAAGGGGGCAGAGTTGGAAGCAGAGGAAGTTTTACCTGTGAGTTCTTAGGGGTGGTGTCTGCACTTGCCATTCAGTGAAAACAGAAGCACACTGTGGAGGCCGTGAGTGTGGCTGGTCACTGCCGCTGTAGTGATGGTGCCTTTCTGACGGCAGCCTCGTGATGTGGCCTCCCTCCGTATGAATAAAGAGTCTCCTGCCTTTCCTCTTCCCCCTCGTGTCTCTCTGACCCTCACCATGTCGCGGCTTGGGTGGGGCTTTCCTACCTGCGGTAGCTCATCTCCCGATTTACAGCCTTGGGGCAAAAACAATACCTTCTGGACATAGTCAGATGAACCTGAGGTCAACGGAGGCTCAGAGTTCAAAATCACACCGACACTGCACATCTGATCACTTAGCCGACACTCCACCATTAAGAGGGAATAGTCATTGATTAAAATGTGCCAGTTAATTATGACAAGATGGCATAATGCTGAAGAGTCCACACCTCCTTTCTCCTGTCAAAGGTGGGTATCTTAGTCTATGTAATACTGCTAGAACAGAACACCTGAAACGGAGTAACTTATAATGGAAAGAGATTGATTAATTTTTGTTTTGTTTTTTGTTTTTTCGAGACAGGGTTTCTCTGTGTAGCTTGGCGCCTTTCCTGGATCTCGCTCTGTAGATCAGGCTGGCCTCGAACTCACAAAGATCCGCCTGGCTCTGCCTCCCGAGTGCTGGGATTAAAGGCGTGCGCCACCAACGTCCAGCGAGATTAATATTTTGATTTTCTAGAGGCTCCAGAGTCCAAGATCAAAAGGCTGGTATCTGGCAGGGATGGGCTGGAATCTTGTCGGGGACCTTTTTGCTGTCCTGTCTGGTGACAGAAGGGGGAGCAGCAAGAGAGTGAACTCTCAGAGGACAGGAAGTTAGGTCCAAACTCACCTTTTACCCAGGAGCCCTCTCCAGAGGCAACTAAACCATCTACTGTGTACCCTAACTGCGTCTGAACACTGTCAGAGAGAAGTTTCTGGTTGGGAACATTGGGGGCACATTCCAGCTGTGACAGTAAGACTGAAGCAGAGACGTCCCCATTCAGGAGAAATGGTTCCTACGCACATAGAGCTTTAAAATGTTCTGGGCAGAAGTGGGCTCTGACTGATTGTTGGACATTCGCTGCCCAGCCGAGTGTCTGCTGCTGCGCACAGGACGCAGGCAGGAGCAGGGTGCCGAGTTCTCGCTGTAACTTGGAGCTCGTTTCATGAGAAGGAGGTGTTAGCTGGCTCTCACTGTGGCCCCCTCTTCGGTGATGGCAGGCCTCACTTCCACGTTGGTTCTCATCATGGGGCCCTCACCAAAGCCAGTGGGACGGCCTGATCTTGGCCGCCCTGCTTCTAAACCAAAGAAACTTCATTTCTTTGCAAAGCCAGCAGGCTTCAGGTTCTTCAATACAGAAAACTATATACATTTGAGCATGGATGGTAAATGTGCTTCTGGAAACCAAGCGAACCCCGAGAAGGTGGCTGTCCAGACAAAGTCTAAATTCTCCTGCCTCAGCACAAAGGCTGCCTACCTGACAGGAAGCCTGGGAGCAGGAGAGTCCAGCAGTGGCAGTCCCCCAGGCACCCTCCACAGAACCCACAATACAGCACACATGAGCAAGAGCCAGAGGCAGAGTTCCGGTGTTAGGGACAAGGGGGGGGGGCGTGGGGGAGCAGCGCCCAGCACCCTGCCCTGGGACTACCCAGGCTCAAGAAGAAGGCATGTTGAATCACTTGAAAACAAAATCGAGATACCACGTTCTGATTTCTGAAATCGTATGAGAACATGAAACCAACATGTTGCTCCCACCATGGGACAGAAGGACGTGATGGGACAGGGAAGCGGGGAGGGAGAGAGGAATGTTATATTCAGGGCAATATTTGCTGAGATTCCTCAACAAACTGATTCTAAGAATTATTCCAGCCATTATAGTGACCAAACTATATTATCCACACCCAATCCAGTAACTTTTAAATCTGTTTTTGTTGTTGTTTGTTTGTTTGTTTGTTTGTTTTTTGAGACAGGGTTTCTCTGTGTGGCTTTGTGCCTTTCCTGGAACTCACTTTGGAGACCAGGTTAGCCTCGAACTCACAGAGATCCGCCTGGCTCTGCCTCCCAAGTGCTGGGATTAAAGGCGTGCGCCACCACTGCCCGGCCTTAAATCTATTTCTAAGTAGAAAAACACAACTAAAACCATAGCCATGTCTGTGTAACAGTGCTAAAATTTCCTCCTAACATATAATTCATGAATCTGTGACCTGCTACAGGTAGGCTATTGGTATAGTCCTATTAGAACACAGAAAAATCTGTTCTTATAAAATTAATATATACTAAGGGCAACTGACAAATTCTGAAACATTTCTAAGTTCTTGAAGTGCATCCTTACATTTTTTTTCTGTTTAAAATTTAGTCATTGAGGGCTGGAGACATGGCTGAGTGGTTAAGAGCACTGAATGCTCCTCCAGAGGACCGTGGTTGAATCTCAGCACCTACATGGCAGCTCATAACTGTCTGTAACTCTAGTTCCAAGGGATCCAACATACTCACACAGACATATATGTAAGCAAAACACCAATGCACATAAAATTTTTTAATTTTAAAAAAGTCTCAAAATTTTAATCATTAAAAAATAGTCTTAGGGCTATTCTTTATAATATTAAAAATTCTCTTTAATTTGTTAAATTATATTTATCAATTGATATTTTTTCCATTTTAATCATTGCTGTTATCCAACTTAAAACATTACCAAGAAATTAACCTTAATTGCCCATTAAACTAAGTATATAAATATGGAAAATTTGAGTTCTCTTAAATGTTCTCATGTTATATAAATTTAAAATGATAGCCAAACATTTTAAGTTTAGAATCAGAAACCTAAGCTGCTCCTAGGCTAAATTACCTAAAAACATTCCAAGTGCATAAAAATAAAATATATGGACTGGAAAGACAGTTCAGTCCATAAAGTACTGGCCGCAGATGTGAGGAGCAGCGTTTGATCACATAAGAAGTCGGGATGGTGCACTTGTAATCCCAGCACTGAGAGGCAGCAACTGAAGGATTCTAGGGCTTTCTGACAGCTAGCCTATCGAAGACTAAGGGGGTCCAGCCCCTCAATAGTCCCCTCCCAGGGTCCGGGAAGAATCTACAACCAGCTGATAATTAATCTTTGATGTAAAGAAATGAGTCTATGTACACGAAACTCCTTAGTTCATACACTTTATTATTCTGTGATAGTTCTCTCTCTACACAGCTTCTATTCTGCTCTCATGCCTAGCTCCTTTCTTGCCTGATTTCTCTCTATATTTATCTACTGTCCCCTCTTGGTTCTATCTTAATTCCTTCATCTAGTTCTGTCCCTTCTAGATTCTCATCTGTCTAGTTCTTTCCCCTATCAGCTCCTCTCCCATCTCCTTCTCTCTCATCTGGCTCTTTCTCACCTTGTTCTTCCCCATCTGGCTCTTCCTCATCTTCCATCTTGTTCCTCTAGTACTGTCTTCTAGCCTTTCAATCTAGTTCTTCCCCATCTCAGTTCGTTCCTCTCAAGTTCTTACCCATCTAGTTCTTCCATTCTCTTTTCTCTTCTCTGCCCTGTGCCCTGGAAGTCCCGGTATATAAAGAGAGGGTCCGAGCTAAATTGTGTAAAGCTATTACTTAATGTCCACCTCACCTAGGCAGTGTCTCCTTGTGGAATTTACTGTAAGTCAGGAGACTTGCATGTGGGCTGCTATCATTGTTAGTCCTCGGAAGTTGGGCGCCCCCCTGGGCGGTGTTTCCTGGAGTCCTTGAAAGTGGCTAAGGGAGATACCTGATTCCAGAGAAAGCCTTTCCCCGAGGCTGTTCACCAAACACCGGGAATGTGTATGTCCAGAGAGTGATCAGTCCACACTGTTAGCCCTTCTTAGGGAAAAGTCAATTGGGAAAACTATGAAGGCACTGTGCAAAGGCAGCTTAGACTAAACAAAAAACAGTAATAATAAAAAATATCACCAACTGACACAGAATAGCCCTGTGAGCTTTCCATCTGCCTGGAGGTGGTTCTGGGGAGAAAAAAATTAACAGATTCCTCAAGTCCGTAATGGCTGCATGTGGGGTCCACATTTACAGCTTGGCATGGTGTAGGAGTCCCGAGCCAAGAACACCCCTGAAAATGGAAATGATGCCTGGAGTCCATAGAAGCAAATGTTAAACTATATTACAAGGGATGTCTGTGTCTAGCCACAAAGGATCACTGTTAGGAGGATTGTCCTTGCATGAGCAGCCAGCAAACCTGGCTAAATATAAAGCAGAAAATGCCTGGGGCCTGGGCTAGTGCGCGCGCGCGCACACACACACACACACACACACACACACACACACACACACACACAGGACTCTGATTCCTAAGGGGGCTGGGCATGAGTTACAGCAACAGCTGTGACTTCTCCAGCTGCTTGCTTGGATGGAGAGCTCAGGCTACCATTCAGGCTCACTGAACTGAAGAGAGGAAGCCGGAACTTCAAAACGGTTGAGGTGTCAAGACTGCCTGGGGAGCTCATTAGAGGCCAGAGGGCTGCAGTGATGCAGATGGTGGGGATGAGTTCTGGAAGGAGCCACTGGAGGGGTGCAGACAAAACATTCTTGAAGCTCACTCAGGCTGGAAATGGTTCCCGTTGCCACCAGCACACATGAACAGTGATACCGGGGCACTGGGCAGGCTCCGCAGAAGCTTCTCACTTCAACCCTAGAGGCCAACAGTCCCCGCCTGAAAGCTGCTCCAGATCCTAAAGCTAAAACAGAATCTGCAAGCATGTGGAGAGACGGCTCAGTGGCTAAGTGTGCTTGCTTTGAAAGCCTAGGATAGGAGTTCAGATCCTCAGCATTCACCTAAGAAACCAGTTATGGCTTCAGGTGCCTATAATTCATGGGAGCAGAGACAAGAGTGCTCACTGCCAAAATGAGTGAGGTTCTGGCTCCTTGAGAGACCTGCCTCAGTGCAGTAAGTCAGAAAGTAATAGAGAAAGACAGCTCGCGTGTTTTTCTGGTCTCTGCATGTGTACATACAGGCACACATGTATGCATACACACACACACACACAGGCACACGTGTGTATGCACAACACATACACATGCTCCCCCCTACACACACACATGTAAGGAAGCTTCAAAAGGATGGAATTTCTGTAAGAGCGGGGACTATGTGTCAGGATAACA